CTCTGGCCCGCGTGAAAGACAAGCAGAAGGTTTGCGTGGCTGCGCAGGTCGTTGAGAACCCGGGAAGCATTGAGAGAGAAGCGCAAGACCAGGGTCGCGTGAGCGTCTGCAACGCAATCCTTCAACAGGGCCGCGCACACGCCGACCGACTTGCAACCTTCGAGGCCGGAGCTTTCCTGTTGCTTCTGCAAGTTCAGGTCGAGAAGAAGAAGGAGGGATCCTGGGAATTGGTGAGTATTCGCTCCACACAGGTCTGCGACTGTCCTCAGGACCTGAAGGAAAAATCGAGAAGGACTTGCAGGACGAGTCGCAGTGCAAGATGCTGACGATGCTTCCAATGAGAAATTGGAAAGAGTGCGAGGCCGTGCCAAGCTCCTTGAGCTCGCTCGTAGCCGCCATCGTCCCTGGGCACTTGCGCAAGCTGAACACGGTCTTTGAAATTTCGGGGCTTCACATCGTGGGGTTGAGCTCGGTGCGCTCGGAGTCTGATGAGTGGATCTTACCCAGCTGTGCAACGTGCAGACGGGCTTACCCCTGCCAGGCATGAGTTCGCTTGTATGCTTTACGCCGTTGTTGTTGTTGTTGTTGTTGTTGTTGTTGTTGCTGTAAGCCGTTTTCCACAGTTGCGCGATCCGGAATCAGGCACACCCGAATGCCGCCGAGGAGAGCCGCCTGGCTCTGCGCGCCGTCTTTGTGGACAGCGACTGCCAATGCAGCATGATCCTCTACCACGACACCATCACGTCGTGCGTGAACGTGGGGAAGGTCTTGGAGTTCAAGGACACTCCCCAGCTGCGGAAGGAACTGCTGGAAGGCTTCCGAAGCGCTCTGTGGCGTGCCAAGGTGACGTTCCGCGAGAACGATTACCATCAGGTCCTGGAGTTAGAGTGTCGCCATCTCGAGCGCTTCTTGAGCTTCGATGCGGCCAACCCTGACGTCTCGGCCGCCCAGCTCGACCTTCCACGTTGCTTCCTGGGAGGTGGTTGTCCGGTGGCTCCTCTGCGCGAAGTCAAAAGGGACACGGACCTTGGCGTTCTTTCGGTGCACAACATCGACGCTTCCTCGGTCCGGGCTCTGGTCATGTTCAACAACGTCACGCTGCCCGACGACGAGACGGTCCAGAAGGAGATGCAGGCGACGTCGGCCATGAGAATAAAACGTTCCGTGGACTGCCTGCTGTCTGGAACGTCAGAGCCCTTCCAGAGCAAGATCCGCGCGGCTGGCCCGGCGTCCGCTGTGACCTGGCTGCTCCGAGGGCCTCCCCAAGAGGTGCACCACGTCGTTCTCATGCAAACCGAAACCGTGAACGAGTACGCGATTCTGTCCCACGTGCTCGTCAAGCCAGAGGCGGTCGACTCTGTGATGTCGTACTATCGTTACATCTGCTCCCAGCAGGAGGACACCGAAGAGCTGTCCTTCGAGAGCACGCTAACGCCTGCGAAGCGCATTAGGACGCTGCGCGAAAGTATGCCGACGCCGTCCAAGACCAGCGGTGCTTGGCAGGACCAGTGACTTCCGTTTTTAACCATGCGGAATGATGCGCGCGACCCGGAGTGGGAAGTCGCATTCTCCGCCAGGAGCCATGCCCCGAGTCGGAATCCGTATCGGTGGCATTGAAGAGCAGACTCAGCTTCCCGCTTCCACGGGACGGCTCTGCGATGTCTTTGGCTATGGTTTTGCTTCACAATCGATTTTGCAATTGCAACTCTTCTCGGGAAGCAGGATCGGTCTAGCTGCCGAGAGCCGACGCCGTGAGTTGGCATCCATCTGTTTAGCATTCCAGCTGTGACTCGGTGTTGCACTTCCGCGGCTCGGCTCTGGCTTGATGTTGCTTCTAAAGCGCTTTTCGTGCGCGCAGGATGGACCGCGCGACCCGGAT